TAAAAATGTCTTTTGAAAGTGTTTTTTTTTTTTTTTTTTTTTTTTTTTTTTTAAAGAACTTACCTTGTTCTTTTGGCCCAGGGATATGATAATGATTCAACAAAAGCTATTTTCATTTTTGCATATTTCCTTCTGGTTCTTTTCCACCTCTGCATAAGATTATTTTCATAATAATGGGATGGTAGTAGATGCATAAACATTCCATCTGCTCCTATTTTTTCACCTAACTTTATATTTTAACCTGATTTATATTCATGTTGTCGATTGTATACTATTCAGTCATATTCATTACTCATGATTTACTGAACAATTCCTTTGTTTTTAGTCTAAGGAAACATAACTGAAGGAGTTTGCTGATCAAAGTAAATCTGCTTAAGAGTTTTATATTCCAGCCTGAAAGGGAAGGCTCTTCATATTTGCTTGGTTTATGTGGGTAATTCATTACCTTGGGACCACGAGAGTGGAAATATGTAAACGTCGCCTTAGATTTCTTTGGGTTTTGGCCCCTTGTGCTTTGCTTTCATTGGAAAGCGGTTCCATCTCCCTCTTCTCTCCTTCTCTGCTTCCCTCGTTTCCTCCCCCCACCCCCATGGTTTGTTTTAAAACATGTTTCCAGATTGGCTGTGTTCCTTCTGTAGAGGATTATTCAAACTCAAATAGGGCATCTGCCTCTTGAGCGGCTTTCCTAGTATGGTGTGGCTTTGCTCTTTTCCTGGCTACAGCTCTTAAGGGGTGGGACTCTGGTCTCCAAAGAGTGTGACAGAAATTTACTGGTTTGTGAATGCTCAAGATGGGCACCTTTCTATTCCTCATTACCCAGAAGCCAGGGAAATCTCTAGAGCATGATGATTTAATGTAAGGTTATTTGCTCAACGGTGGTTTCAATTTCTATTAGCCCCTTGCTGAGGGGGTGGTACAAATAGGCTTGGGATTCCGGTCATCCTCTGCAGAATCTTTGAAGCATGTCAAAAAAGCAGAAATTTTCAAATTGCGCATTCTTTCCTGGATTATTGGTTCTCTAGAGCCAACCATTTGTAACTTAGTTGTCTGTAATTCCGTGGACAGGCCTTCTTGAGAGAAGTTTCTGCAAACTAGGCTGGCAGCACTGCTGCCTACTTGTTACTTCTTGTTACTCTGCCTTTTTAAAGTAGCCATGTTGAAGGTGCTTATCATCAGGGCATGTAGTTTTGTCAAATGTTGGCAGACAACAAGGGTGGTCTCAGCAGGAAGCAGATCAGGGATACCCTAAAGTAACATTTCCCACCAAAGAAGAAAATCTTGACAAAATGTATCTTGCAGTTAACATTCAAGGCGCTAATAGCCCATATAAAATAATACTTCACATGTGCTTAGAAAAGGCAATTAGCATATTTATGAACATTCACAGCACATCTGTTAAGGATTGCACCTTTTCCTGCTTATTAATCAGCAAACAGATTTTGAGGAATTATTATGTACCAGGCCTATTCTAATGCTTAGGATCTGGTAGTAAACACCATTAGAAAGTGATATTGAAGACAAGTAATGAGTAGTAAGCTAGTCATACATTCAACCAATATTTGAAGTCTTCTCTGTGACAGACTTTGCTCTAGTTACTGAGGACTCAGAGTTGAACCTATCTTCGTGGAGTCTACGTATTTTTTGGAAGTCAAGGAAGAAGAGCACTACGAGATTTCATTGAAACAGAGTTCAGGATTTGGGCTGAGGAAAAAAGAATTGTGCTTTCTTTTTTCCAGAGCACTTAGCTAAGTTTCTAATAGTAGTTAAGGAAGAAAGAGACTTATTTGCCCACCAGAGTGAGTCCAGGGCTAACCTGAGAGTTGTCGAAGTGCTATAGGATTCAATTAGGCCAATAGCAGCTCCAAATCAGTGCATGCAAAGAAGGGGCCAAAGAAAAAATCAGGTGAAAACTTGAAAGTAGCATGTGACATACAAGAAAAAAGTTAGTGCTGATAAATTCCCGAGTAGGCCATATTTTCCAAGCCCAGTGAGGAGAGTCGCAAAACCTTATGACTGTTAGACTGAGAGTTGGGACTAAATGAGAGGGAGTGATTGCAAATCCTGCCTAATGCATGCAGGGGGGCAAAGGTCAAGAGGAGGGCTGGCGGAGTACCTAGGATTGCTCTTTGGCTTGACTGGCTCATTCCTTCCTTAAGGGTCCTTAGTGGGTGGCAACAGGGAAAGCCAAAAGAACCATCTGGGTAAGTTTTGACTTCCAGCAGACTTTTTATTATAAGTGTTATTTTTGGAAGAGCCCTCCTGCAGGCGTGTCATCAGCCTCATTTCAATTGGTGATCTAGAATTCTTTGAAATCCAGAAACCTAAACTAATTCAGGAAGCAGCTCCTGCCTGGGAACACTCTATTTCCTTGTCTTCTGGGTGTCGAAGAAATTTTTTTTTTTTTTTTTTGGTCTGGCATGGTCTAATTGGATGGGGAAAATTGGAAACTCTGCTGGCTAGGCAGTAGCTTTTTTCATTTTCCCCAAATCTCATACAACTACTTTCGGGCAAACAGAAATAAAGCCAATTTCTGTCTTGCTCTTGTTGGCCTTTTCCTGGTGTATTATAGGGTGAGGGTGGCAGGAGCCGTGCATCTTTAATAAGTTTCTAGGCTGAGAATGGGATGTTGGCGAATTTTCCAGCGGAAGTCCAGATTTATCTACGGGCATCATTGGTGAAATTCGTTCTGATTTCTCTACCGTTTATTCTGAGCAAACAAGTTCTTTGTAGCATAGAACATATTGTGCAGGTGTTTGACATCTGGTGTGTATAGAGTCCAAGTTTTTAACCTGGAGTTCATGGACTTCCAGTAGGGTCTATAACAGGCCATGAGGTATTCAGGACCACCTGAAATAATATGCAAAATTTTGAGAATGTGTGTGTGTAGGATCACTTTTTTGAGGAGAGAAGCCATAACTTATATCAGATTTTCAAATGATGTGTGACTCAAAGTGGTTTTTAAAAATCACAAGTGGTTTAAGTGGTTATCCTGATGATTTTTGCCATTTTCTTCTACAGGGAAACATTCTGGACTCAGTCTAACTTGAAAGTCAAATGAGAGATTTCAAATTGTAAAACATTACTGATTATCCTTTCTCTGATTTGAACAGAGTCCAGAATTTCTCTAACTTGAGCAATTTTGTTTCTTTTCTTGAAACACATTCTGAAATAGAATTAAAAATGACAGAAAGTGATGGATACTTGAGAAAGTTTTATCTGATTTCAATAGTTGAATACACACTCTTTGCAAAGTTCCCTCTTAAGTATAAAGCTTAACTTGAGGTTAATGAGTGTGGGTGGAGCTTTGAAATGCCAGTTGTCATAAGCTACCTGGATAAAATGATAGACACAAAAGATACAGAAAAGCACCTCTAAAGGTACTTCAAAAAATAGACGAATAAAAGCAACTTCATGAAATGCTGCACTGAAGACCTTCAGTTCTCAGCTGGGTCACCTAGTTAAGTAAATATAAAATCTTTTTCAGTCATAGCTTATTAAGTTGCTACTTGATTTTGCTCTGAGCCTGTATTCAGGGGATTCTTTTTAAAGAATGGGTAGCACTGAATTGATACCCATACATAATTTGCGTTTCTGATGTTATCTTAAGATTCTAGGAGACTTTGGGAGAGTAGAAAGATAAAACCAGACCTCAATCCTTCTTTTCTAATCTTCATTCTACAATAGATACAGATATCATATATAGCCAGAACTGAGAGTAAAGATTTTATAGAAAGATCTCACTGAACAATATTTTAATAATTGATTCGGTTACTTCAGCTGTGCACTCAAACAGCCAGGCAGCAGCTCAGAAGCAAATTAATTGGATATGGTCCTGGTTTGATAGCTCACAGCCTAAGACTCAGGATCGAACAACAGCAATGACAGATAAACTGTTATGTCTTTTGCTTATTTGTTGTCTTGAATGCCAAGTCCTTCAGTGTTAAGGAAAAGGTGATGGTGATCTGTCACCATTGTTAATTAGAACAGGGTCTGGTACCATTTCGTTGATCAGAGAGGCCTATGGATCTGTGGATACAACTGGATACTCCTCAATGTATTTCGTATTCTCCTTTTGGCAATATGAACTAGAATCAGAAACATTTTTCTTTAGGAGCTTCTATTAGCAGATTTATTCAGAGCAAGTCCTCTAGAAAGAAGTCTATTAAAAAATGCATACCCTTACTTTCTGCTAATTATCATAGTCAATAATAGTAGAGGGAAATATTGATTTACAGATGGAGAATGTAGGCCCTGAACACTTATTTGGACATCCAAAACCTCAGCTGCAGAGTGTAGGAAGTGACCTGCTGCTTTACATCAGAATATAGGCCTCTAACAAGCTCCCTGGATGTTTGACTATTAACCTTAAGTTACTACAAAATATTTTGATTTGAGGGCTTTTGTGGGAAAGGAATCAGTCTGTAATGAAAGCAGATTACAAGCATATCTTTATTTATTAACTTTTATTGATGGAAGATAGGGTCATATTCCAAAATAATTAGGCATTTTTTCAACAGGAAGAAGGTAATAAAATGGTCCTTTACATTTGCTTAGCCTGTAAGACATTGAATAAATTATATTCTTTATTTCAACAAATACTCAAGGAAAATAATGCTGATGTTTTGATTGCCTGTCATAGTGATTAAGATAATGCTACAGGAAGGGAGGGAGGGAGAAAAGAAAGGAGATAGATATTGCAGAATAAAGAACATGTTATTTAAAAATGTTTGCAATGTTTATCTTCATAGGACAAACATTGTAAAGGAAATAGTCTTGTCAATGTTTCATCTTGGGTCTTTTCTGGGCTTTCCTGATGGCTGAAAAAAAAAAAGAATCTAATTCATCTTACTTTTGTATTTGAGAATTTAATGATGGTTTTGGTCTCTTTGCTTGAACTTTTTTCAGTTTTTCATCTATTATCGAATATTTTTATGATGTACATCATGATTATAGAAATGGCGGTCTTTAGAAGTTTTCAAATCAGGACTCTTGCTTCTGGTCCTGTTAGTGAGATCATTGGGGCACTTCATCTCTGTCTGTCTTTCCTGATTACTCTATTTTCAAAAGCTGAGATTCAAAATGTCCTGTTCTACTTTGCAAAATATAGTGTTGATATAAAAAGTGACCATGGGCAAGGTTGCTAGAGGATTTGGACTTAGAAAAGGGGAAAGGCTTTTTTTCCTCTCCCATTTTTTGCTTCATGTGTCATTCTTCCACGTATTTGGGTTTGCTGGAATTAAGTGCTCAGAATTGCTTGTAGAAATATCATATCTAAATTCTTGGAGAATGATATTGGTTGGCTAAGATAGAGTTTGTAGAAGATAAAGGGCTAGGACTCTGAAGAGCTGGATTTTTCTGAAGGTAGCTTGGCAAAACAAATAGACACGTGTGAAAATTTGCCATTCTATTCTAGACATCTTAGCTTTAATGGTCTATGCTTAATAAGTTAATATGTGTATCTAAAAGCAAGGGGGAGTGTTTATTGGCCTTTTTTGCTTTTACTTCTTTGGTTGAGTTATGTTTATATTTATTCTTTTAACATCCTAAAGAGAATTGTTCAGTTGTAAAGATCATAGCCAGTTGTTTTTAGATCTACACATTAGCTTCAGAGACCAAGATATAAGAATTTGGGGGTATACACAACAAATGTTTCACTTTCTTCTTATAATCTTGGAAATTCCATTATACATTCTATACCCAATTTCCTTCTTTTGTCAAATGGGTTGCTTGGCATCCAGCTCAGCTACTAACGCAAGTCACCACAACAGGTACGGATTCAAATATCATCTCAGCAGGCTGGGAGCCAACTGAAGAAAATGAAGATGAAAGAGACAAACACCCCAGTTATTCTGGATCAGGCATTGATGATGATGAAGATTTTGTCTCCAACACCAGTAAGAATAATCAATTACAGTAGAACCATTCGTACAAGGCTTACCAGTTTATCTGAGTGCTGCCCAATATTATCTGTCCCGGGATGTAGTATGAAAAATGAGCATAAGCCTATGATCGCACCTTAGTTATACCTTGATGAGATCATAAAAAGAAGGAATAGATTTTGTTTTAATGGAAGACAAAACATATTTGGAGGAGAAATTGGGAAAATATCTTTTATTAAATTCCTAATACCTCATGTTCTTCTCATTTTTTTTTCTATTAGTGCAGTTTGCTGTTACAGATTCTCTTTGAGAATGGCATAGTAAAATATTACAACAAATATTCATTCTGTACCTACAGTGACGCTACAGTGATCAATGATCAGAACACAGTGTGGGAAATTTAGTTAATATCTCATCACAAATTCTTAGTAAACTTTCTTGAGGATGCTTAGATGAACTTAGGGGTCATACCATCTGGGCACAAGATAGTTTATGTTACTTCATTATATAAATGAATACATTAAAATGGTTTATGGTGCTACCCTGTTATAGTGGAATAACAGGTCATCATTAAGAAATTCTGTGCCCATTGGTTTTCTCTTGAGAAAGATTATTGAAGTCACTCAAAAATATTAAAAGTAGATGCCGAGAGATACTATTTAGGCATAGAACCATTAAATAGCATGCACTTTAATGGAAGAACAGAACCGTCAAGGGTTGGTTGATAAAAAGTCACAGTGTATATAACTATCATCACAGCAGACGTAGACAGAAGTGGCATCAGTGATTATGGAGAAAACTGGACCCAGGAACCACACTCTCCTCTCATTCACCATGAGCATCATGAGGAAGAGGAGACCCAGCATTCTACAAGCACAAGTAAGAAGGATGGAGGTCAGCAGTTCCGGGCTAGATGAGTTAGTGAAGTCATTCCAAAGGACAGGGAAGACTATTTTCAGACATTGGCCACATCTTCTACTTCCACACGGCAATTTTTTTTTTTATCCCCAGAACATGCAAAGCTGCCAAATCTGCACACAATTTTTAGAAATTGGAAGAAAAATGCTAACTTGTCTGGTTGCCCAACAGGCCAAAATGTTTATAAATATTTAGAAAGTTAAATTTTAAAGAGATCTGAGATATGGTTTTTGTGTTAAAGATTCCTAGAGGTTCCACTTGGGTGATTTTTTTGCATGTTTATGGAAACGCATAATGAAGAGCGTGTTCTTCCAGTGCCTGATAGTGGTATCTCCCACGATCTTCGGAAACTTTATTTTCCATGAAGATATTTGATGAATCCAGTTTCTTCTTCACATTCTGTTCCTTACTGCATTGTAGAAAAGCATCTCTTAATCCTCTTTGGAGGAAAGTCAAAGTCAATAGCTCAGATGGTCTATATTTGAATACTATGACTGTTATTTTTCTGTTTTTAAGCCCAGGGTAAATTTGGGGAGGCTTTGATGCTGTATTTTCTACTTATATTCAAACATCTCAGGTTTTCTAAAACAATTTCAAGTCTCACTATTGGACAATGAGGATAAGATAGAAAAAATAAGAAGTATATATACTCCTTCTTTTATTTTTATTTCCCAGAGTGCTGCTTATCATATTTGAAATAAAAGAAGATTTAATTTAAGATAACAACTTGTAGCATTTTTAAAACTGTGGCTCAACCATTATTCTCATAGTCCTGCATGCTCCTAAAGCAAAATGTAAGAAATAGCCACTTGAAAGCCAAAGAGAGGAGCAAAAGGGGTTTGGGGACCCCAAGTTGAAGGAATGTCTTCCGACAACAAAAGAAACATTTCAGACTCAGCTAGGACATAGGCTAATAAGGCCTGGACATCGCACTGAATATACCCAACAGGCCTCTATCTTACTACTTATCTCGATAGATTTGCCATACACATGAGGGTTATGGGCTGAGTTAACAACAGAGTCTTCCGATAGAAGAAAGAAATAAGAATCAGAAGTCTCTTCAGAATGGGATTCTGTACCAGTCCTCTTTGCGACCCAGCACTATATTTTAGAAATTATTTAAGACAGTTTGTACTTAAAAAGCAGAAAGATACTCAAGAGGCTTGGAATTAATGAGTCTCTTGTCAGAAGTCGTGGTGGGAAGGCATCATTACTGATGGGTAGTTGACAAGTCAGACATAACAGAACCTAAGAGAGGGAAGACAGCACCAGCCACAGCAATTCTCTTATCAGCATTTGCAAAACATGAAGAGATTCTGGTGGGTGACCTCTGGGCTTTGTATCAAAGAACATTACAACATAACAGACACTTCAAAGAATTATGTGACTATCTCACAGGACAAAGGAAAGGCCCTGGGAAAAATTGATAAAGCTCTCGAATATTATACGAAAATGATCCGCTTTTTGATTATAGTATAAAACTCAAATATGAAGTAAGGATGTCATAATCTCGTTGGAAAAATTATGCAAAAAGCCATACACTTAATTTATTCTTGTTCTAAGAATGTGCATATAGTTAAATAAATGTAAAAAGGCTTATTTAAAAAAAAATAAAAAGAACATTATGCGTTCTAGAAGAGAATCGACCTTCACGTTTGCAGCGGAAATCCTATATTCTCTGCTAACCCCTGTGCTGAAAACAACAGAGGGTCTACTGGCTAGTTAAAGGGTCGCTGTGTTTAGAAAGATAGTGCTAGAAGGAGTTAGAGTAGTGTGTGTGTGTGCATTTTTTTCTCTTCCTTTTCTTTTCTTTTCTTTTTTTTTTAACTTTGAACAGGCAGTATATATTTGGATAATTTTCCTTTTTTTGTAATTGCACTCAGTGGTTTTTTAACTTAATTACTTGTCAGGAGGCAGTGATTTAGTCAGTGGGAAGCAAAGTTTAAGATTTTGGATATTTTTTCCCTCCCATTGATAACAAGTTAACCTCAACAATGTTTTGGTCAATGCTAGGGTAAAACAAGGACAATGAGTTTTATTTTTTAAATCTTTACTACTGTAAAATCGCACATATTTTCTAAAATAATGAAATACAACCTGTTTCACAAGTTGCATAATACACTTCGGTTTGGCAAGTTGATAAGCTTTCTTTTTCTCGAGAACTAAAAATTTGCTATTTGTTGCTCTAGATGAAAATGTCAGTGGCTTTCTGTTTTTTCCCATAGGCATCCTGATTCAATTTTATTCCATTTGTCCTTTCAAAAACTGGACAATGACAACACCGAGTGGTTGAAATTTTAAGCTCATCACATTTATACTGTTTATATAATGCCAAACACTGGCTAGAATGGTTTTCTTCCACTGAATTAATTTTGTCAAAAAGTAATTTTGACAATTTTAGATGCCATATAAGCATAACTTCATAATGTGTCAGTGGAGGAGCATCCCGGGCATTCCCAACATCTGTGCCAGGCAAATCCACTGCTGGTGCTTTTCCAGTGCATATGATTATGAGTCATGTGACTACCACTTCAGAAGGCCTCCTACTAGGCCAGGACTCCCTAACCCCCAGCAGTGGACTGGTATCAGTCTGGTCCGGTACCAGCCCATGGACTCTTAAGAACTGGGCCACACCGCAAGAGATGAGTGGCTGGAGAGCCAGCAAAGCTTCCTCCGTATTTGCAGCTGCTCCCCCTGGTTAGTGTCACTGCCTCAGCTCTCCCTCAGATCATCAGGCATTAGATTCTCATAGGAGCACTGGTCCCTGGTGCCAAAAAGGTTGGGGACTGCTGTGTTAGGCTATCTTGTTATCAATTGTTAAGTAATAGATTTCTCCCCCAAAAATCACTGGAGCAAAGAAATGAACTCTTTGAGCAGTTCTCAGAATATATGAGGACTCAGACTCCAGTAAAATAAGAACGATACTGGAAGTTCATAAATTGTGGCTTAGTTCTGACTGTGCCAATCTGGCTATATGATTTTAAGCGAATCAAAACTTCTTTGGGTCCCATTGATTTCTAATATCCCTTTCAGAACATCAGTTCTCTCTCTCTCTCTTCTTGCTTCTTTCTTCTCCTACCCAAGTATATAATAGAAAGCACCTAAAATAGAAAGCTTTGTCTTGGTGAGGAAATTGAATAATAATGGCTCATAATAGACATTCTTCTCACAGCCCGGGCAACTTCTAATAGTGCAATGGAAGAAACTGCCACCCAGAAAGAACAATGGTTTGAGAACGGATGGCATGGGGTATATCCCCAAACGCCCAGAGAAGACTCTCATTCAACAGCAGGGACAGCTGGTAATGGATGGTTTAACAAATAGACTTGGGTAGAAACTTCCTCTTGGATTAAATGTTAAACATTGAGGACATTAAACAAAAAGACATTGAGAGAACTGTCACAAGACATTAAGGTTCCTTAATAAATTACGGTGCAGTCAACACAGACCCAACCCTTAATAAATGCTTATAACAAATCACTTGAACAGGAATGGATATTAGCACATAAAGGAGACCCAGACAATACATCTTTGTATATGTCACTTTCAGATCTAGTTTTGCGTTCCCCTGGTGAGATTATAGCAGAGACTCTAATCTTATAAAATACTCCTTTTTGTTTTTAAAAGAATCTGCTCTTTGATTGATGCAGGTCTAGGCTTTAAAGCACGGTTCTAGAGAAAACCGGGCTTCTTAGAAAGCATCGGTCAGAGCCCTAGTGTTTGAAGAAATGGAGCCAGACATTTTAAGAAAAATACTTTTGTCCTTGGCCCTTTGTCCTGTCTGGAGATTTCTCCTTGAATGTGCAAGGTTTTTTTCTTAGATTTACAAAAATCACACCTACTCTTGGATTGTGGGATTGTGGAAATTGGAATCAAGTCTTGTCATCATCTCTAAGTGATGCCAGATAGCTTGATTCTTTTGTCTGCATGACAAAAACATTGACATGCATTTGTAAAAGAACGTGAGTTCTATATTCTCACTTTGCATTAGTGAGAAATATCCTTATATCTCCATTTTCGATATAGAATATAATATATAATGTCCTTCCAGTGTTTGGCAACTTCTTAATGCATTCCTGGCAGATCAATGGATTCGGTGACTGGCTATGTGGTGTGGTTGGTTGTTGCTAAGGGGTTACTATTGTAATCTTTACTACCTATACTTCTTCATCAGCACAGAATGAAGCAAAAGCATGTGCTACATTCTTGCATATCATTTATGGCATAAATCTCATTGTTAGAAGGTGATGCTTCTAACAGATTCCGTTCACGCTTTTGAGATGAATGACATTTACTTTCATGTTTATCTCATGGAAGCTGTTACCCGATTTCTTCTCTAAGTCTCTACCAGCCTAACGTGCATTTCTCTTAGACGTGGTTCTTTCGGAGTGACATCGTGTGCTGGGACTCTTACACTTCTTCCTTTTGGGGACGGTGGCAATGTGGCATGGGTAAAGAGCTATTTCTCCTTCATCTTCTCTTCATGTCTGTAACTCACCCTTTTTTCCACTGGTGAAGTCATTAATGCTTTTGTGTCCTGATATCAGGAAGATGTTTTCATTGTCTTTCTAGAGAAAAAAAATTATTAAAAAGTCAGTTTATCTCTGGTCAAATGTCAACTAACACTTTGACAATTGCTTGAACTGCATGGTCACAACAGCCTCAACCCATGACAACCATCCAAATCAAAGAATGACAACGCAGAGTCAAGAGGACAGTTCCTGGACTTATTTCTTCGATCCAATCTCACACCCAATGGGACGAGGTCATCAAACAGAAAAAAGAATGGGTAATAGCCTCTGAGCTTGTTTTATACTATGTTTTTGAAAGCCATCAAATGGCCATTTTCCTAGAAATATGACATTGGTATTAGACCAATCTGCTTTTCTAAGGACCTTAACATTTCTTCGAAAATTAGTTTTCTCGGTAGGAGTGATTTGTACATTCATCTGATTACAAAGTCCTGGGATGAAAGTGAAGAATTTAGGAGGAGGGTTAAAGAGAAATTAGTCCAAAGATGATGGGAGTGGCAGTCATTTTGAAGGAGCAGTTTGAAGATTTCTTTTCCATTTACTTATAAGTGCAGGATTTTTAATAGACTGAAGCAATGGATTAAATGACTATTTCCATTTTAGACATTGTAAACCCAACAATAACTTGTCTTTGGTAGAGAAATCTTAGAGATCAAAAATTGGTGGTGAGTACTCATTCTGAATAAGTAACTAAAAAGCTCAGGAAACTTTATTATTTACTCTTGTCATATTTAGAGATAAACATCATGCCTAGTAGCTTAAGATTTAGACCATTCTTGGCCCTCAATAAATGTTTGTGGATTTAATAAGTGGACAACTTTTACACGGGATGGAATTCCTGTTTTCTTAAACACCATTCTTGCTTACCTGTAAGCAATTCAAAAACAGAATTAAACAAGAGAGAGTAAAAAAAAAAATACTAGTTGTTAATTCTTCAAGAATGGAAAATTGTGATTTCAGTTGACTAGTTTTTATTTATAAAGGAAGTCTTCCTTTATCAGAACTGATGACAACTTTCTTTAGAGAATCTGCAGAGTTGCTGGCAGGTAGTGTCCCTCTTTTCTCAGCCTTTACGAAGTTGAAGAACCATGTTCCTTACTACGCCCACGAATAATTACTCAAGTTTTATTTTGTTTTGTTATTTAACAAGATGTCTTTGTCACAGAAATGTAACATTTCAAAAAGGGAGATAAACCGAAACAACCAATATAGGGATGCGAATTTCGATTCCTGGCATTGAATATGGAATCTGGTTCCAAACTGCCAAGAGTGTGCATAACACGAACCTTACTGAAAAGAGTTCTAAGAGCACAATGAAGATGTCTCTTGATAGTGAATTGAACAAAATTATCTCCAAAATGAATCCAATGGTTTCTATGATTTCATTTCTTGAGAATACCTTATGTCATACCTAACTATTAGTGATCCAATATCACCAGATATTAGTGATTAGAAACTACATTGGTATTAAATATCTGCTAAATATGCAAGGCATTATGGAGATACAACAAAGTATAATTGATGGCCCATGCTCTTAAGGAACTTCAAATTTAACTAGGAAAAGAAAACATTTAGCATCAAGATATATCTAACAATATGAGACAGCAAGTAATAGATATCAAATGAAAGTTGCCAACAATAAACACCAAAGAAATTCAGAGGATCCTCCAGAGAGGTTCAGAGAAAGGTGGGTTGGATTTGGTTTTTGAAAAATGGGGGAAAACTTGAATAGTTAGAGAAAGAAAGTCAGGGAAGGTTTTTGTAGAAAGTAAACTTATGTAAGAAGAGGCATAAAGGAAGAAAAGCCAAGGGATGAATTGGCCAGAGTGAATGAATCCTTTTGTCATAAAGGAAGATGGGTTTGAATGGCTAGGTTGCGGCCATCATGCTGAGTGGCTGAAGTGCTACATGCACACTCAGCACACATGTTTATGCACATGACTGCTAGAAGCTCTGATGATATGCATGGTGGAAAACCAAGCCAGTCAAACAACTTCAGAATCAGTATTAAGTCTCCGTAGTGAACAGGAAGATATTCTGTTAAATTGATGAACATGTCAAAGACAATACAATTGGCTCAAATCATAAAATGATGTGATACCTCGTAAAGAATTCTACTTTTAAAAGAGAAGCTGAACAAGAATGTCTAGAGACCATCAATAGGAAGGACTTTTTCTGGTAGAGCATCCTTTTGGGGTTTTGATTTGGATAAGCTAGTCTTTCTTCTTTTTTGAAATCTGGGATAATAGTCAGCATGTTTTGTCCTGCGAAGATCTGATTTTCTTTCCTTTTTGTATGTAAAGGCTGCGGTATAGATATGGGTGGCCAATATTTTAGTTTTTCCCTCTGGAGCCATCTGGAATTGATGAAATCTCTCTAGAGGCAGTATTGTGGGTGGACTTTGAATTGGAGAGCCTGCAATAGTGATGACGTTTATGAATAATTTGGCCTTTACTTCAGGACTTGTTATTTCAACAGAACTGATCTGTGACATTTTAAAAAACATTTGTAAATATTTCAGTGAAATTTCTGTATCATTCAACATGGTACCTATTAAATTCCAAAGATACCTCCTACTTGTATTCACAGGAAGACTGACAGTCCCTGACATCCACTACTTATTTCTGCCCCTGAATACTCTCCGTAGCTTCTGCCTAGGTAGTATCGGATGATGAGTTTATGTTTTATTTGTACATTCACTTTGTGAAGTGGAAGAGGACCAAATGAGGGAAGAGAGCAGCAAAGAAAGTTCTTTTGCCCAGTAAGGGGGTGTGACAAAATGGTGCCTAAACCAATGCACTTAGTCATTCCTCCGTGTGTCAGATCTCTTGTGTCTATAAGAAAGGCATAGGTTACGTTTCTGTCTCTCCGCAAGTTTTGGGAAGCTCATCATGTGTTCACTTAGAGTCCTTCCAGACTCAGCAAAAATAAACAAAAATTGTAGCTGTCATACAACTCAGCCCTTAAATGAAAGCCAGTTGCTTCTTGTGATGTTCTTTTGAAGAAACCACAATCTCTTCTAATTCTACAGACATGAATCAGTATGGGCTTTCTTTCTTCTTAACCAGGTTTGAATATAAGAATAATTTAGCTATAGATCATAAAACATCCTCAGGTAGCAGTTTAGGAAATCAAACAATAACACTGATTTAATTCCTTCAGATCTGGACTCCAGCCATAGTACAACACTTCAGCCTTCCACAGATTCAAACACAGGTTTGGTAGAAGACTTGGACATGATGGGACCTCTTTCAATGACAACTCGTAAGGATAATGACACTCAACTCCTTTATCAACCTGTGTTCCTGCTTCAGCTCTTGCTCACACTGGCCCAGACTCAGAGCTTGGTGGTAGAATGATGCATTTAGTGCTTTATGGCTCAGCTCAGCGCAGAGCATGAAAACTGTCTTCATTTCTATATTTTCTTGATGGGGTTCTTTAAATCTTATTTTGCCTTCATTCTTGGTGTTTTCCATATTCAATAACTTTATGTTAAAACAAGGAAAAAAAAGGATATGGGACTTTGTTAACTTGATTTTCCTTCCCTAAATAGTGTGTCAGTGACACCCAAGACCATGGCAAAGACAGTGATTTCTCTATATTTTAACTAACCATCTCCTTTTGATTCCCATCTCAATCATGGCAGAGGAGGGGTAGGATTGTTTTAATGGTTGTGAAAAGACATTTTGGGACCAGATAATTATAGAGAATAGGGAAATCACATCAGCCCCCAGAGGAGGGGCAAGGCATGTTGTTGACAATTGATGAAGGTAGCAGGAAACATTTGCTAATATCTCTTCCTATTACTAAACATCTGGTAGAAGCAATGCTAAACGTCTAGCAGCCTTAATTTCCATTATATGTACAAGGCTATCCTAGACATCAGCCTGAAGTCATTCATAATTTTTTGACAGACTATGAAAGAAATCCAGAATTTCTGAAATACGAGGGCTTTTATTTCACTGCTTGTTGCACATAATGGACAGAGTCCTTCATGTGAGCCTTTTCAAGCAGAGGGAAAAAAATCAGCAACTATGTGTTGATCATCAAGAATGTAAAATAGTGTTAAGCATCAAAGGAGATGCAGATGAGCAGAAGAATAGTCTCTGCCATGGAGGATCTTGTATTTCCACTTTATGTCCCTATTGACTTTTGTTCTGATGTTGGGTTTGGGATTTGGTGAATATCTCTCTCCTGGTTGTAATGTTTACTTGGTGGTGGACATGGCTTATGGGTGTGCTTTATGGAGGGCTTGCACCTGTAACTCAGAGGTCAGTACTTTTCTTAGAAGAACACGAAAGAAATTAACTTGAAACTGTCAAAGTGATTTCAGATACGGGCAATGGTTCAACCTCAAATTGCATACATGTCAGTGAGAGCCCTGTGTTTGCCCAGGCAAGCGTTTCCTGGCATTTCAAGGCAGTGATGAGAATCCCTATTAACAGATGAGATCAAAAACCTAATAGTAGAGTAAAATGGTAACTTTAATTTAATGTTCTTTAGGAGGGACTTAAATTTCCTTTATAAACTTGATCTGACTTACTTGAGCAAGTTATTCTAGATGAACTTCTTCATCTTTTGTGGTTGCAAGTATGTGCTATTGTGGTGTTTATTTTTTCTGCAGTCACACTTCTTGACACATGCCAAGATATTTTTGATTATTGACAGGAACATCAGGATTCAGACATTACTTTCTCTGTCTCTGTGTTCTCTGGTTTTCCTGAGTGACTGGAAGCACTGCTACGAGTTCAGTCAGGAAGATCCAGGGTAGACAAACTTTGGCTCAGACTTCATGTTGGCACATAATCTTTGTTGATTATACTAAAAATCAAAGGGACTTAGGACCCAACGAGGGGCAAAACAGGATTCTGTTGTATATTTTGATCTGTCAGAGGAGAATGGCATGCACAAACCTTGATTTTCTTATCCATCTATCTGTCTGATACTATTATAGCTAGGTCCTCCCTTTCAGGACAAAACAGAGGATATTTGTTTCATGGCTTCAAATTAATGTTGGATTCATCCCTTATTGCAACAGAGTGGAGTCATACTCAGAGGTTCTTTACATCACATGGAGGCTTGGAAGAAGATAAAGACCATCCAATGACTTCTACTCCAACATCTAGCAGTAAGGATTGTAAAGCTCAGGTGGCTTCTGCTATTAAAAACAATAAAGTATGGGTGTTTTTGTAGTGTTTTTGGTGGAGGTACATCAATTGGCTGCTATTATGCTGTTACTTCTGATCAGAAGGTGTGCTGGTGATGGTTCTCTAATTTTTCTGCTTTGTAGACCTCTTAGAAGCTGTTGTACATTGAGCGCAAACTATTTTCTTAGTCTTAAAGGTTGGGTTCCTTAAACTCTCGAGTTATATTGCTTATGTATGATTTATAATTGGTGTAAAGGTCTGAATGATATTACTTTCTATTTTCCTTGCATTAATAATATTATTTTGCCATTTATACTACGGACCATAAATCATGGTGCTGGTGAGTAAGAAGCAGTGCCTTTCTGGCAAAGGAAAGAATAAGGCTTTGGGTCTTTGAAACTGCACATTGGCTAGTTCAATTACAGAGAGCATAATTTTACCTTCTGATTCAATGATGTGTTTCCTCCACTTCATCAAAGGTGGGTCCAATTGAGTAAGAGCTTAAGATTATTTAGTACGTGAGCTGACTTCAAGGTCACAGTTGTAGTGGCATAAATCCTGGCGAATGTTACGAGAAATGCCTCTCCTCGGTATTAGGATTACTAAAATCTCTTCCACTGAGTGATGTCCAGGTGGTGCCAATTGCAAAATATTGATTCTGTGCAATAGTGTAACGAGTTGCACTATCGTTTGTTCTGTGCTCACAAATAACAAATGGAAATCTTTCGTAGCAATTGCACATTCTAAAGACAAGCAGAGGATGGTGGTGGTCTCACAAATGCGGGTTTACCACTGATTCCACTTCCACACAGACAGGAATGATGGCACAGGTGAAAATCCTCCTGAAGACTCAACTACTTCAGTAGAAGGTTATGCTCCTCATTTCCCAGACTCAGAGGGGTACAGGACCCCCACCCCAGTGACCCCTGCTAACACTGGGTCTCCTGAAGTTACTGAAGTCACTGTTGTTGGAAATTCCAATTCTGATGTTGATGGTTCCTTACCAGGTAATTTGCCTATTTGTTATCTGGTTTGCTTTCTCTATATAGAGAAACGACAGATATTTTCATGTTACAGGGGATATTTTCTGTGTGGGCCGTGATTAGACTGATTTGTGACATGAGAATGGCTTGTATCGTGTCATCATTTTCGTGCAAGTAAACTTAGGTTGATTTTATGTATAGAATGCTTTCATTTACCGGTGTAATTTTCATTTATTTTTGTGACTTGGTTGTTAATGGTAGAATTCTTTTCTTTGTCTCATTCCTGATTTTGTGACATAGTAAGTTGAACCATATGAAACTGATATTTTTGTAGGTCAAAGAAGTTAAATATTAACAATTTCATTTGATTCAACTAATAGATGCTGCCTAGTTAGTAAGGTTTTACCCAACATGTGAATAATTTCCATATACTAATATCTTTGCTCTGAAATTATCTTTTACTGGTGATGGATTGGTGAATTTTACTTTTGGTGAAGGGTTTGTGAATAAATCTCTTCTAGTTATGATGCACACTCAAAACTTTATGATACAATCTACTGTTAATGAATAAGCATCATTTCTCTTGCTGTACCGGCAAAGAGATGACTGAAGATGACTTATTCAATTAACTTGGACATGGACCTAGAATGAGAACGAGACTTTTTTTTCTCAAATGCTTCTACTTTTCTTTGTTTCCTCTTTTGCATTAAGAAATTAATGTTGAAGAAAACGGAACTGGAAAATACCTACTCTGGTTAAGAAACTAAAATCAGATTCTTTCCTGCCAGTGTCAGTTATCAAGTACTTCTTACCACTCAACCACCAGGGCATATTAAAGATTAGTGACTTTAATATACAGTAGTCCCCCTTTATCTGCGGTTTTGCTCTTCTCGGTTTCAGTTACCCATGGTCAACTGTGTTTTGAAAATATTAAATGGAAAATTCCAGAAATAAACAATTTATAACTGTTAAATTGCGTGCCATTCATAGTAGTAGCTGATGAAATCTCGTGCTATCCTGCTCCATCCTTCCAGAGATGTGAATCATCCCTTTGTCCACCACTTAGCACTGTAAATGCTACCTACCCCTGAGTCACTTCTTAACCATCTCGGTTATCAGAACGACTGCTGTGGTATCACAGTGCTCGTGTTCAAGTAACCCTTATTTTACCTACTAACGCCACAGTTACATAACTTTTATTGTAGTAGATTGTTATAATTGTTCTATTTTATTATTAGTGATTGCTGTTAATTTCTTACTGTGCCTACTTTATAAATTAAACTTTATCATAGGTGTGTATGAACAGGAAAAAATGGTATATAGAGAGTTTGATGCTACCTATAGTTTTCAGGCATCCACTGGAGGTCTTGGAACGCATCCCCTGTGGATAAGGAGGGACTACTGTATTTGTGTGTGTGCAGCATAGCTTCTTTCCCTTCCCTCCCCTGCAAAGGAGAATAAATCTTATGAGAACCTAATATCTAAAACAGCTGACAGCTATGATGCTCTGACTGATGTGATGACAGAAAACCCAGAATGCCACATGCGTGGCCTCTGTTCTCTGGGCTGCCCCCACGGGGCTTCAAGAAAAACAGTTTTAAAAAATATTAACCTCAGCAATATTGGCAAGACAGAGCCCCTTAAATCCTTTGATTCTTTATTCAGCGTGATTCTGCTCTCAGTTATTAAAAATTCCAACTTTTAATTGTCAGTATTCTTCTGGAGAAATAAATCTTAGAGCGCTGCCTAATTTCTCTTGGCAAAATAAGGCCTATTATGCAACCTAATGAATTTAAATTTTAAATGAAAAATTTTAATAGTTACAATAGCCTAGATTACACAGCCTATCTGTTAGTAAATAAAATGCTTTCTACAAAATAGATGTTCACATATGCCAATTTCTTCTACATTCCATGATGGTATAGACAGATATTCCATGGTTCTCCATGGATTAAATAATTAGTTAAGTGATCTGACCATCACCCTCAGTTTTCTTCTAAAACATTCTGACAAGAGCTCATTTTGTCTCAAACATTTTTCTCAGTCTTTATGCTTAATGTTAAGAACTAAAACATTTGAAATTGTGGTGGTGGTGGTTGTGATGATGCTGGTGGTGGTCTTGGTGGTGATGGTACCGAGGGCAGTGGTGTAAGTATTTCAGCAAATGCTGTTTTCCTTTATTCTAACCATCAGCCAAGGAACAAAACATTCTGTCCCCTCTGTACGATTACATGAGATGTTACAGATCACCTACCTCCACCTTTCAGAAAATAATGATGATCAGATTATTGTATATTCCTTATGGGTACCTTCATAATGGGCGACTATAGACTTTTTACAAAACCATTGTCCTGTTTTGTTTTAAGATTTTTGGAAAACATGTGGGAAGGAGGGAGGAGAGTAAGAATTTTCATATGCTGAATCCAAGATCTGACCCGTGGATCCAGAGTTTAGCAATTCATAAACTTGTCTCAATCTAAAGCCTTTTGGTAATGGATATTTGAGAAGATGGATTATATTAACTCCTGGTGTTGAAATGCAGATTTCATTTTTCAAAAATATTACTATTTGAAATGTATCCTTATAACGAGATATACATTGGTCACGTGTTTTTTCCCCCATTTTCTTCCCACTTATTTTCAGACTCATTTTCTCTAAATAAGCAGTTGATTTTTCTCTTTGGATCTTTACATAATTCGACCCCCAAATCCCTTATTGCACACTAAAACATTGTGCTATTTCCTGCCAACCAAAAATCTTTTATATGTCTCATGACCTCAGATCACATTTGTCATAATCCAAAGCATGTAGTCCTAATTTCAAAGATATAATATCAAATCCCAACCTCAGACCTGTAAAGACATCATAATATTTTTGTTAGAGTGTTACAGTTACTGGGTTTCTACCAAAGCCACACTTCCTTGATGGACTATACTGTCTTGGTTTACTTAATTTGAATGAAAGCTCCAGCCCACTCATCCATGGATTAAGCAATGAATAGTAATTAATATTGTGGGCCTGTTCAAGCCTCCTTTGCCATCATTTTGGTTACCTTTAAAAGACTAAACTGTGTGATGGCCTGCACAAAAATGCAAACGTGTGGAAATACAGATGGCAGTGTGACTGGAACACACAGTACTAAATCTTCTCTGATTGTTTCTTACAGAAGACCAAGGCTCATCCCATGACCCCAGCGGGAGGGCCCATACCACTCATGGATCTGAATCAGCTGGTGAGTTTAAGCTGCTTTAATCATTTACTGTGATCATCATTGAACCTACTGATTGTTAATGAAGTATAAGTCAGTGTCTCTCAAAAAGTGGTTCTCCAGCTCTCTTGGCATGCATCATGGTCACAGGGAGGGCTTAGTAAATCGCATTGATGGACTCCATCTTTAAAGTTTCCGATTCTGTAGGTCTGGGTTAGAGTCTGAGCATTTGCATTTCTAATAAGTTCCTTGGCGATGCTGATAGTGCTGAGATAGTATCTTTGAGAACTACTGCTTTGGAGAAAATCTTTCCATCTGAAGGATCAGAAAGAATTCCAGCAAGGGTCTTAATTTAACATTGCATTATGCTAGAGTGATTAAGAACATGGGTTTTGGAGTAAGAATGACCTGAATTCAATCCCAGCTCCTCCACATACTACCTGAGGACGTTGCTTAACAAATCGGAGATTCAATTTCCTAACCACTAAATTGGGATAATAATTATCGTAAGACATTGTTTTAAAGACTAAATGATAGAATACATGTAAAGCATTTAACATAACCCCCAGCACATGGCATAATAGTTAGCATTTATTCAGAATTTACTGTGTGCCAGTGGCATAGTTCTAAACATTTTATATGTATTAGGTTGAACCATATGAAACTGCCATTTCTGTAGGTTAATAGTCAAATATATCAGTGCTTTCATGTTTCACCTAGTATTAACTCATTTAATTATCCTATAAACCCTGTGACCTACGTAAGTACTATTATTATTCCAATATTACAGATGTGGAATCTAAGGCTCAGAGAGACTAAATAACTCGGCTGAGTTGATAAGACTGGTCAGTTGAGTGGTGGAGCTAGATTTCAAGCCCAGGGGTCTCACAGCACCTCTCCTAAGCACTGTCTGGAGAAAGCACTCTGTAATGACCATAATTACACCAGGCATGCATTATTAAATGGTTCTTGTTTGCTGTGACTCAGATCACACCCATGGAAACATTACTCCAGGCAGCCAAAGTCTGACATGAGGCAGGTTTACTTGTGACCACAGATACTGGGGCTATGAAAGCTGTGCCAGTGCTGTCATACCGTGGTCTCCCTGAGCGTCACCAGTCCAGGTGACCCCCTCACCCCCATGCAAGACTGGTCATCCATGTGAACTAGTGTCCTCCCTTCCTTCATGCCTATGTTAGAAGTGGGGTTGCCTCCAGACTTAAAGTTGAACTATCTCTGTGCACATATCTCAGACTGGATCTCATTTCCCAACTGCAGTGTAAAGTGTCCCTCTTTGCAGAACTTGCTTTTCCAGCCAGCCCTACCCTGGCTAGAATTGCAGTCCTCTAGGGCGCAAGGGGAGATCTGCTGTGTCTCGTTCATCTTGGCTTTTGCTTGAAGTGAGAATCAGGTGGGTGGGAGCAGTCTCTTTTGTGTATTGTTCAAATGGGAGGTTTCGTCTGGTTGTACACACACCCAGATCTTTCCTTGCTGGGAGCATTTTTTTGGAAAATCCAAATAAAGAGATTATGATCCATTAATGGCCTCTCTTTCAAATATCAAAAACTGCTATGAGTCAGATAAGACTAGCAAGAGTGACTGTACTCTACGGTGGTTTTCAAGGCCAAAGATCTCCAGTTTAGGTGGCCAATATATCAGGACCTGTGCAGGTGAACCCCTGTCAAGGACCAAGGACTCTGGTAGGCAGGTAGAGAAAGTGCTTTGGACTCCTTCTGAGGTTAGTAAAGTCAGAGGCCACTGTCAAAATGGCACGGGGCCCGTTGAAATAGCTAGACAAATGGTAAGACTGTTTTCTTCCATTTTGAATTTAACAAAAATGTTAAATTGCATAAACAGGAGCCATCATGTCCAAAATAACCACTATAATTGAGATTTCAATGTCCACCATGCACAGTCTAAAGTTTGACTCTCTCGGGAAAGCTTTTCATTTAAGGACCAGCCATTTTCATCCACTGTTGCCCAAACAGACTTCCCTGTTGTTTTTTTTTTATTTATTCCCTTGGAAGCTTTCAGGATTCTGCAATGGGTTCCATTTGGTAGAGGAAACAGAATTTGTTTTAGTGCGATGTTTTCAATTTTTGTTTTGCACGATAAAGGAAGCATTAAAAGACATAAATTAAAAACAGAACTTTCATTTGGGTGAGTCTCTTTACAAAATGTCTGAGAAGTTTCTTTTAAAACATCATGCTTCACTCATTTTGATAAGCCTCCAGTTTTGACTGGTGGCTCCTTTGTCTTGCAATGCTGCCTCCCTCTTTGAAATTTTGTTTGTTTCCTTATTCTGTTTTGTAGGAGTAGAAAATATTTATTCTTCACAAATAAAGCATGTTTCAGTAATATATTAACAGAGACTCTAATGGGGTGATTTTTCATAGGCAGAAAAAGCCATGACCCCCCTAAGCCCTTATTTTATAATATTTATGTTTGTTTCAGTGATGACATTGGATTTGATTTTTGTATTTACTTTGGACTTCCTGGAGCATATGAATCCCCTAGGGATCTTTTAAAATGAAGATTTTGATTTGGTAGATTTGTGGGGAGGCCTGAGTTTCTGTATTCCCGGCAAGCTCCCACATGATGCCTATGCTGCTGGTCTAGGGACAACATATAGAGCAGCAAGGTCATAAATTAAAAATAGAAAATAACTACACACGATTACCATGCGTGTGTACTTCTTTAAACTTCTGTAAAATTCCAATGAAGTGGATTCTATTGCTACCCCAACTGAGATTGGAGAGAGTAACTTGACCCAACAGAAGTTGCTAGCAAGGGACAGAAGCAGGAGTCAAAAACAAGGCCGACCTGCTCTAGAGCCCTGCACAACGCTGCTGCTGAGAATTCTCATGTTTTTGATGAAAAATAACATTTCCAAACCTTAGCCTGAATCAAACTGAACTTTTCTGGGGAAATATTTTTCTTGTAACACACACACACACACACACACACACACATACTTGTGTGTGTGTGTGTGTGTGTGTAAATATATATATATATAGTTTGTGGCTTGAATCTAAACAACTTGCAGCGATGCAGGACACAAAGGCTGGCCCTGTGTGCTGCTCTAAAGCCTGGTTATGCGTTCCAAACTTTGGCTGAGAAATGTTTCTCCCCTCAGGACATTCAAGTGAGAATCGAGAAGGCGGGGCCAACACGACCTCTGGTCCTATAAGGAAACCTCAAATCCCAGGTGAGTTTCAAGTTGTTGGGGGGTAGGAGGTGGGGGGAAGATACTAAAAGCAGGTCTCTCTGAATGTCCCAGAAAGAAAGAAGCAACCAGTTTGAAAGCACAGTCTCCTAAATGTCTAACCTGAACCTGATTGTTCCTCCTTGTAAGCCAAAGATGAATGAAAGCATTACAGCTTCTTGATAGAAAATGATGGAACATTCTTTTCTTCCTGGTTCCATAGATTGGCTGAGCTTACATTCAGACTTGTCCCTGGACTGTCCCAAAGAAGTGGCTTGTTAGTTACTAAAGCTTCCTTCCCAAATGAGTGATCAACCAGGGGACTCTATGTCGTACCCCGGTCCTCCCTATCCCAGCTGAGTTTGCCCTTTGTTCCTGGAGGTTGGAGTGAAACTGTCCTCTCACATTGCAGACGTGTGTTTGGTGGAATGAAAATATTCTGGTCCCCAAACTACTGTTTCTTGAGGGACAGTCTTCACAGATCCAGACAGAAGAAAGTTTCAGAAAGTTTTAATGTGCAGTAAGGGGACTGGGGCACCAGGCTCCCCTAGATGTCAACATTTACGGCATTGGAAGCAAATTCGTTATTTAACTTGGGCTCGAAATTGAGCATTTGTAAAGGAGGCTTACGAAAAAAAGAAGGGTTTTCCCAGGGTTGTAGATTATCGTTTTAACTCTCCACTTTTCAGAGGTCTCCAGATTGCGCCTCTGGTGGGCGAAGGGAAGAATGTGGTATGTGCCTCCCCCACCTTTGCCTCGGCTTGCCTGGGCACTGCTGGAGGCAGGGCATGTGCAGAGGGAGTGGGCTGCCAGGGAGCAGGTGGGTGGGTGAGACATAATTATCTATAATCAGGCAGCAGGATTCTTTCAAGCTCTAGTGAGAGTGAATGTGGGGCATCTCAGAGCTGGAGAATGAAAAAGAACAGAAATGTTTCCCTCGTGTCGGCCTCCCCTCCTCCTGAATCGACCTTGCTCCTCAAACTCACCTAACCAGGTAGAGGGCGGGCAGAGGCAGTACTGAGCAGGACCAAGACTCTCAAAGAGGGATGGTATGAATGACTGCCCATCTTTCCTGTTTCTCAAGCTGTCATTCATTGCACAGATGTCCGACCCACTTGGCAACTGAATTTATTCAAGTTGTCAAGTCATATTTTAATCCTGTTAAAGCTTGATTTTATTTTTCTTTTCGTTTTTTAATTAAAAATTATTGGGGTTACACTGATTAAAAAAATCAAATAAGTTTCAAGTATACAATTCAACAGTAAATCGTATATATTGCATTTTGAGTTCACCAACCAAAGTTAGATTTCCTTTCGTCACTGAATAATTGACCCCTTTTATCCCTATCTACCTCCTCCCTCCCTAAAATTTAAAATGTGTATAACATTTTATTAGTCCATGAGTGATACATTAATTATTGGAGAAATTTTAGAAAATACAGTTAAACAAAAGGTACAAAAATATAAGTTACTTATTATCTACCTCACCATCCGGAAATACCATGGTTACCATTTTCATATATGTCCTTCTTGTCATTTTTCTAGGTAATGTTTATACTAAAATGTAACTGTATCACACATGCTTGTTTAGTAAACTACCACTCTCAATTGGCTTGCCGCAGCTTTCCAATGTCATTAAATATTCTTCCCCTATATTGTGGACGATGGATGTACCCTAATTTATTCAACCAATCCTTTACAGTTGGGTATTAGGTTGTTCCAAACTTTTATAACTAGCACAGTAGTAAACATCTTCATAGCTAATTCCGAGGTCCTATAAAGTTCTGGAAGTGTAACTGCCAGATCAAAATCACGTGCATTTTGAAGGTTTTCTGAAAAGTTTTGCTAAATGACCTCCCAGTGAATGTGCACAGGATCAGCCTCCACAGCAGTGTCCTTTTCCCGACCCAGTGGTATGTGGCCTCCATTTCTGTTTCTTAATAAAATGTAGGTTGGATGCTCTCATCTAGGAAAGAAATGTTCCCTTCAAGGGAAGCATGTTTCCTTTAGTCTACTTAATAACATTGCACCAAAGGCATCTACAAGTTTCAATTCTACACTTTTTTGGAAACACGTGTCTCCCAGAGGGAGTTGGAAAGCCCGACTGATGATGAGAGATTAAAACAAGAGGTCTGTTGGACAAACACCATCTAGCAAATGCAAAATATACCAGTATTCTCTGCCTACTGGCTGGGCCATTTGGTTGGACTCATCCATAGTGCTGACTGTGATTCTTGTTTGGACCAGGTCAGTTTCATAAAGTGCATTTTTGTTTTCACAACATGTATTTCCCAAGTTCACGGTGTCTTTTGGTTCCCTCACACCAGAATGGCTGATCATCCTGTCATCCCTCCTGGCCCTGGCTTTGATTCTCGCAGTTTGCATCGCGGTCAACAGTCGAAGGAGGTAAGGAGATGCTCTTTGGAGCCTTCCACTTTGAAAGGGAATCTTTTAAATTCAGGCTCTATGTCCCTGGTTCTCAGAATCAGCAGCCTCGGCACCTTGAGAGCTTGTTAGAAATGCAGAATCTCACTGCAGACCTCCTGTCTCAAAGCCTGTGTTTTGATCTTAGAGATTCACGTGCATGGTACAGTGTGAGAAGCCCTGCTCTGGCACATTTTTCAGAGAAAGGACACACTATGATTATCTGGACCACCACTTTTAAATAGTAGTTGAATCTCTCGAGGCTCTTAATTACTTTGAGGTTAAACCCACAGAGTCTCTGTCTGATGAAAGTTAAGAAATACCTTGCCAGGAAGGTATAAAAGTAGATACTCATTCATTGATTTGTTAAACAACTATTTATTGAGTGCATTCACAACGCACAAAAACACCATATAAAGATTTGGGGGTTGGTCATCCCTCTGTCTGAGACCCATGAAACTTTCTAGAACTCTTACCTAAAATAGGCATTGAGTTTATGTGTTTGTTGTTTGTTTTTGGAAAGATACTACTTTCTATTTCCTGAAAGCTGCAGTAGAAAGGATTCAGATTCTGGCCTAAGAAGAGCCCTCTGACATTGAGGTCCGTGAAACATGAAGGACTTTCCTTAGGAAGGTCTGAATAAAGACAGTCAACCCCCTGGAACTGGCGTGGGAACTGCTTTCACGTCCTCAGAGGTCCTTCTCTCTCCCTGTATCAACCAAGGCCTATTTTTCAGAACTTATTTGAACAATACATATACGTGGTTGAGCTCTGACCAGGCTTCAGAAAGAATGCCACCTAAAGTGATGTGAAGGAAAACAGTTATTCTAGCAACAGTGGAAATGAGCTCTGACGGGGTAGTCCATAAGTCTAAATTTCCTGTTTACAGGGTAGTCCATAAGTCTAAATTTCCTGTTTAGGATCTTTAAAGATGCATCATTTTTCTCTGAGCATAAGCATAGGAACACTAAACCTTTGGTTAGTGTCTCTTGAGATTTCTTCTTATAAGGTAAAATAATCTAATTTCCAAGTGGGGCCACCTTGACAGTATCACTAGATTATCTAACAGGCCAGAAAGTGCCCCTCAGTTTGGGAGAAGACCCAGAGAAAAATTATAGAATCTTTGTCGTTGGCTTTTTTGGAAAGCAACAAATACTTAATTCCACTGCCACATGCCACCTACATAGGATCTCTAATTATCTGAGGAAATCAAATAATGCCACCTTATACTGGTACAAGTCAATCAAAGTGCTATATTAAAGTTATAGCTATGTTGCTATCTGCACCTTTGAGGGCATAATGAAAAAAACAGTCATCATAGCTGATTGTATAAGGAACAAGAACATGGAAAGAAAATCTGAAAGACCTCCTAGAAGTTTCCTAAGACTAAATGGAAGATTTTTTTTTTTTTTAGTTGAATTTAAATAATATGACTTGAGGGAGCCCTTACAAAGAGTCTTTATACTTTCCTCCAGCTTCCTTATTTTCTCTTAGATTACTTTTGCTCAGTTAAATATGAATTTCCTATTGTTGGAAATCAGTCTTTTTGTTCCAGGCCATAGAATGCACTGCCGCTCACATACACAGTTCGTGAGCTTTGCACATGTCACCATAGAAACATTGGCCCCTAATGCTGTCCATGTGGGAGAGAACTCAGAGAAGCATCTCAGCTGTCCTCGAGAGCAGCTGGAGTGCGTGCAGTGTGGCTGGTTAGCTCACACGTCGCTCCCCATCATGTTAACAGCAAAAGGGGTCCCATTGCTACCTTCCCCCTCTTCTCAAGACCAGCAGTCACCCTAGCAACAGGCAAATAGGGACCCGTAGGATCCCTGCACAGCGAGTATCCATGGGGAAAGTAGCTGCTTGCACACCATAAATTACTATGTCCTGATCTGATAATAGAAAACAGATTTGCCACGCAGCCTAAGGGTGGTTAATGGCTTCACAGGCCCCTTAGTGTGCACTGTGTTTCTAAAACCACCAGCCTTTTTCTAATCCTCTTAAAGGCTGGGGCCTTTCTGCTTTACATTTTAGAGAGATACAGAATCCTATTTTCATCAAAGAAAGTTTGGTTGAAAGCAGGGACCAAGGACAGGCATTCATTTATTTGGCAAACATCTTTTGAGGGGTGATTGTGACTTGTCAGCACAGGCAAGGAGAAAAGGAAGATTAAAAATGAAAAAGGTACCATCCCTTCCCTAAAAGAATCCTGAGGTTTAGTGGTAATATTGACCTGTGGGATGAGTCAGCTGATATTTATCGAGCACATACTCTGCGCCAGGCACTATTTTATGAATTATGGTTAAAAGATAAACGTGAAGAAGCATTAGTCACTGAAGTTGATGTTCAAGGCTTGACCACGGGCTTCCATGGCACTGTGATCTGTGAATTGCATCATCATAAAGATTCTGATTTAGGGGTCCTGTTATTTCTTTAGCTTTTCCCATCCCTATCATAACCTACATCACCTTTCCTTGCTGTTCTTCAAGCAACCAGAGTCCTTGAATTGCAGCATTTTAATGGAAATTGTACTTTATTCCCTCCCCTCAACAGCAAACAATGGTTTTAGGAGTCAGTTGGCTTTGTAGATGTTGGATGAGGCCCAAGAGAAAAAGTTAGGTGCCTTTCCCTTAAATAATTGATCTGATTTATTATATGAAGAGGAGAAAAAATGTGAATGCCTGACCAGAGAAGGCTTCACAGAACAAGAATGATTAAAGAATGTTCCTCTGATAATTGTGCAGAAAAGGCCTTCGCCAACTTCCACAGTCATGGGAATAATCGTCTTTTCTGTAAATCTCATTTGGCAGCCATCTACCTTCTGCTTGGTAGGTCCCCTTTATAAAGCTCCATAATTTAAAAGTGTCTTCCTTCTTTTAAACTGTGGTCGAGCTCAGAAACAGTTCTACCTCTGCACTGTCTGATACACAACCACGAACCGCTTGTGGCTACCAAACACTCAAAATATGGCTAGTCTGACTTAAGAAGTGAATTATTAATTTTATTTAATTTTAATTAGTTTAAATTTAAATAGCCACATGTGGCTTGTGTCTACCATGTTAAATGGCACAGCTCTAAGTCCAAGAAAAATAAATCTCTAAATACCTTTAAGGGTTGTCAGGTAGAAGAGACATATGATCACTTGTTAAGTTACCACCCTCCACCCCAAGTTTTTCGAGAGAAATTCCTCTGTGCCCTAAATGTATGTTACCTGGTTTCTAAATCTCATGCAGCCTGCTCGCCCTCTCCAGCAAGGCTCCAGCCTCCCTGCTTCCACATTGTATGGTCACTGTATGCTCAGATAAGGCCTGAGATTTAAGGGGAAAGAAGATAAAGCCAAGATGTAATTTGGCGCAGATCTCTGACCTTTGGACTCAGAAAATCTAAGCTGTAGATCCAATGTCTGTCCTGCCATAGGTAGCAGCGCAGCCTCGGACGATATCCTGGACTTCTTAAACTCTGTCTCCAGTTTACATTGGATGATTTCTGGAGTCCCTTCGGCTTTATTACTCCTTTTAAAATTCCTCTAAGAAGAATGAAAATGTTAGAAGTTATCTTTTTAAAGCATTTATCTAAAAGCCTGGAGCAGTAAAATTTGGACTGAGTGATTTATGAGAATCATCCTACCTTCCGCAAAGAACTCAGGCGGTTAACAGAGACACACAAATCCAAAGGGACGTGCAGGCAGAACAAAACCCAAGCGCCAAGTTCCTAAGCCCTACAGGTCAAATGTTCTCTGCTTTCAAAATCAGCTTCATCTACATTAATAACACCAATCCCCACTTAACCCCCATGCACTTTTTTATGCTTATAAATCACTTTCCTGCAATATTTCATTCACCTTCTCTAGTACCCATTAGGCAAATAGGAATTACTTTAATAAGACACCGTTCCTCCGAAGAACCCAAGATACCACCTGAGAATCGGAAATAGCACTAGCAGAATCCCACCTTCAGCTTTTTAAGTCATCTTCATAATAAATGTAAGAAGGTGGGTGGAGACAGCCAGAAGAAATAAGCAAAACCCATTTCACATGGCTCTTGTTGTATTCACAACTACAGCCAGTGATTCTTGAACACTTGCTGTGTTCCAGATACTGCTCTAAGTGCTTATCCAAGGCGTTGGTTTCCTCATCTCACAAAGTTCATAAGAGCAACAACAATAATAGACTCATGTATGCAATGCCAGGCTCTCGTTCTAGGGCTTTCTACAATCTTGTGAAACCGGTACTCTTAATAGCCTGATATTGTAAATAAGATAGCTGAGGCTCAGATAGGTTAAGTGAGTTGCCCCAGGCCACACAGCAGTAAGATCTCAAAACCAGGCCTTTCAAGCCCCTGCTCTTGTCTATGTGAACTGCATCCGTATTCCCAGCCCCACGATCCGCAGCATAGGTCAAGCATCCTTCCCTCTGCCCCTCATGGAGCATTCTGCCAGAGGAGACAGTATCTGCCTCCTATTGAGGAGGTATAATTTCTACTTCCCCGAACGAGATTAAAGTTTATGGCCTTGGCAGTCCTAGCGGAAATGGCCCATGATCATGAATAATAGAGGCTTTGTCTCTACAACTCCAAATATCCGGCGGCAAAGTGAACAATTCCGACTTCATACTGTTCCCAAATGTCCAGATGGTTGGCAGCATGAATAGAGCTGGGCAGAGTCCAGGCTTTTGGTCCTAAAGGCCTCGATTTGAATATTGACTCTCTGTCTTACTAGAGTCAATACCTAGAGTCAACAGCTGTGTGACCTCAAGCTAGCAATTAAGCCTCCCTGGGCCTCAGTTTCCATTGCCGTACAATGGGAATAACGACTGTTTTGCGGAATTATTGTGAAAATTACATGAAATTACATGTAAAGTGCAAGGCATTCAGGAAGTGTTCAATAAATGCTAGCCCATTTCCCTTCATCCTCGCCCCACTTGTGAGGCTCTGAAATTTTGCTTCCATCAAGCATGATCTGACTTCTAAATATGTAGCAGTGATCATGTTACAGGAAAGAGGGAGCGTTGTGTCAGGTCGTGTGGGGTGAGTGATGACAATGCTACGACCGAGGGACAAGATCAAGGTCATGGTCTTCTATGGAAGACCTTCTGCATTTGAATCTTAAGTAATGTTACTGAGTAACCTTAAAGTAACAGTGAACTATTTGCCTTGTGTCATTCAACTTCCTATATCCAGGGTTATATGGAAGTTAACCAATGTTAGAGAAAAATCAATATGGCCTTATACTTCTCAGTACATGCAGTAATAACCCTGACAAGGTCAACGAAGTGTGATAGGGAAAGGAAGTAATGGGACTTTCTCAAATACATGAATCAGAATGATTTACAATCATCATGTAATGGTTTATCTAACTGCAGAAATTACTAAAGCGCATATGAGAGGCAAATATTTCCACTGCATAGTATGGTATAAGGAGAACTTGAGAGTCAGAGACACACTAGGGTTTAAATTCTGAATCTTTTATTACTTGCTGAGTAACCTGGGGCAAGTTACTGAATTTTCTGAGCCCCAAGGTCACTTCATGCATGCTAGGGGATGATCATAGGGGAAGCACTGCCTTCTCTGAGTTGTGACAAACTTGAGTGCTCATCAGAACCCTTTGAGGGCTCTTTAAACCACAGATCCTGGGACCCGCTCCTAGAATTTTCTGATCCAATACTTCTAGGGTGAGGCCGAGAATTTGCATTTCTAACAAGTTCACAGTTGATGCTTTTGCTGTTGGTTCCAAGACCTCGGCGAAGTGCTGATTAAAAGTCAGTAAGACAAAACACACTAAGACCATTATAAACCATAGGGATAATGATGGTGGCGACAACAATGATGATGATAATTGGGCCATTGCACCCTTTTCTCATGTGATTTTTAAATTATTAGGTGTGGGCAGAAGAAAAAGTTGGTGATCAACAATGGAAATGGAGCTGTGGAGGAGAGGAAGGCAAGTGGACTCAATGGGGAGGCCAGCAAGTCTCAGGAGATGGTGCATTTGGTGAACAAGGAGTCAACAGAGACCCCGGACCAGTTTATGACAGCCGATGAGACGCGGAACCTGCAGAATGTGGACATGAAGATTGGGGTGTAACACCTACACCGTGACCTTGGAAAAAAATGACACGTAACCATTACAGGGAGCTGGGACACTTCACAGATGCAATGTGCTACTGATAATTTCATTGGGGTTCTTTTTTAGCATAAAATTTTCTACTCCTTTTTGTTTTTTTGTGTTTTGTTTCTTAAAGGCAGTCCAGTTTATAAAAACAGCATTGCTTTCTGAAACGAGGGCCCAATTAACAATCGGTAAGAATTTGACTGTTCCAGTTCCCACCTAGAAGCCTCTCACTCCCTGGGGTGTGCTATAGATGACTTCTAACAAAACCCAACAAATCCATCTTCCCAGTTGACTCCCAACCTTCCTTCCACCCCACCTCCCAGGGGACAGCCACATGCTAAGGACATCTCCAAGGCTAAGAGGGATTGGTTCCTGGGAGGAAATTTGGATGGGTTCATTTTGCCCCTCCAGCGGCCCAATCCCTGGGCGTTGCTTTCCAGCGGGTATAGGGGATCGGGTGTACTGGTTATACATCCCTTTCCACAGATCCCCTGGAAATTTTTCAGATGCTTCTGGGAAATGCCCAAAGGGTGAAGCTATTTATCTGTAGTAAGCTATTTATCTGTGTTTTTGAATTGTTAAACCCTGGAGGTCCTTTGATCAGTATGATCTTTTTTTGTTTTGTTTTGTTACTTTGTCAGAGGCACAAAGGGGTTTAAGCTGATTCGTAATAAACATCTGTATTTCTTCTACTTTAATCCTTTGTGCTGTGATCCTTCCGTTTCTTAACCAGCAAGGTCTGGCTGGGTTCCAACAGCTCATCAGGAAGATGTGAGAAGATCCTTCCTGAAAGTCTTCATCTCAGAGCCACTAAGACCCCACTCAAACTTACTCAACCAAATCTCACAGAAGATCAAGGAAGGCAGCACTGGTTTATTTCTGAGGCTCCAAAGGTTTTCTGTTCTGTCCTAGAACCATAATTGTGAGAGGAGGAGCTTCATCTGCTTTATGTTTTAATGGCCACCTGTTCTCTCCCCTGAAAACTGTGAAAAGTCACATTACATTTACCTGACTTACCATTATGGCATCTCATTTCATGGACGCAGACCTCATTAGTGATGCCCATAAACAATATGGAATTGCCTTTTGACCTCTTATAATCAAAAGAGAAGCAATGGAAATGAAAGAGAGCATAGACAGTGGCCAATTGATTGGCACAGATTGGGGAAGACGAGGGAGGGAGCAGTGCAGATGCTGTTTGAGTATTTTTATGGCTGTATTTATTTATACCGTAACAAGTTGTCTGCCCCCAGTGCAGTTGCTACTCAGGGTAAGTTAAGTGCCTGGGGAATCCCTCAAAAGTTTACAGGGCTTTCTCACCATTGGAATCTTATCACCAGATACCAGGGTTATGGCCAAATAAGAGACCAATGGCTTTATCCCTTGCTTGGCAAGTCTTTTGTGGTCTTTATTTATAAGTTCAGAAGATCAAATTTGTCTTGGAATTTCCAAAGTCTACTACTTATAATAGAAGAGATTAAATCTATAAAGTAAGGGCTCCTATAAAATGGGGTACTCATAAAAAGTCATCTATTGCCTAAATGATATGCTTAACCGGCACTGTTTCTCACACACAATGAAGAAGGGAGTGGGGAGGAGGAGAGGAGAGAGGAAGAGGAGGAGGAGAAAAGGAAAAAGCTCCACATAAATCAGGGCTGGGCTTATACAACGAGTTGGTTCTGAAGGAATATTCAAAGGAGAGAAGCCTGCTTTCCGCACTCATTCCCAAACTCTGCTCTCCCCCGTCCAACCTCACAGCCCCCTTTCTGCGTCTTTGAAAATCTCCTTTCTCTTCTTCTGAGAACATTATCGGCAACTTTGATGCATCTGGTTTTCTTTTTATTTTCAAGTTGAAAGAAAAGATAATGGACATCTGACCACTCTCTTTTGACTGCCATTGGTATTTAAGTGCTCCCTGCTTTCCAAGAGCTTCCCTGGCTCTTTAGCTTGAATGGCACAAGCCACCGGGATCAGTTCAGAAGGGCTAGTCCAGTCTCTACCTGTCTCCCAGATTGTCCTTGAGGCCATGGATAGTCGTATGAGTGTCATAGCTAGGGGTGGTTTTCCACCCCTTCTAGACATTCCCAACCAATAAGGTGATATAGGAGATTGCTTTCTATTGCATGTTAAAATTAAATAGAATCTTTCCCTTTATTATTGTTGCAGTCTTTCACTTGGATATATCTCTGTGTTCTCGAGATAAGAATAGGAGAGGTCTAGGGCTTCCATTCCTTAGATGCACTTCCCCTGCAATATTGCCTGAAGTTTATGGGATAGGATATATTCTCTCTCATTTGAAAGAACGACATAATTCCAGAAGCACAACTTGACTACACTCCATTTTCTACCAGTGACTTGCCAGATGACCTGGGCTACGTCATTAAACTGGGCCTTGTTTGTAAAAGTAAGGGGCCAGCATTTCATTATTTTGCAAAGCTTAACAGAGCAAAGCTGAGAGCTTTGCAAAGCTGA